TATTAAAAGGGGGGAAAAATACTGGAGTTTGAGGAAGTCTTGGCTTAGGCTGAGCAAGGGGAGGTTAGCAGTACCTCGAATCACTGCATTGTAATTCATTCTTTCATTCAATAAAGATTCATCTTTCTCTTCTCAATTCTTCTCATTTCTTGAGAATTGCCTTAGATCTTATCACACTCCCCCTCAAGCTTGGCTGTAGATATTGATGAGTCCAAGCTTGTCTGTCAGAAACTCGAAAGTTTGTCGTGGTAACCCTTTAGTGAGAATATCTGCTACTTGTTGACCAGTCGGAACATACACTATGTTGATCACTCCTGTTTCTAACTTCTCCTTGATAAAATGTCTGTCCACTTCCACGTGTTTAGTCCTATCATGATGAACCGGATTGTGTGCTATGCTGATGGTGGCTTTATTGTCACAGTAAAGCTGTGCTGGAAACTCACTTTGGACCTTTAGCTCCTCTAGCAACCTTTTTATCCAGATAATCTCACATATCCCGTGTGCCATAGCTCTATACTCGGCCTCTGCGCTGCTTCTTGCAACAACGGCTTGTTTCTTGCTGCCCCAGGTCACTAAGTTCCCCCACAGCAAGGTGCAATAACCGGATGTGGACTTCCTCTCTCCCAGTCAGCGTCGGTAAAGACGTCAAGCTTCCTCTTGTCGTGCTTTCCGAAGAACAGTCCTTTCCCCGGTGTTCTCTTTAAGTACCTGAGTATTCTATACCCGGCCTCAAGATGCCCTCTACATAGTGAGTGCATGTATTGGCTGACTAAACTAACAGCGAACGCGATGTCTGGCCTTGTATGTGAGAGGTAGATTACTTTACCAACCAAACGTTGGTATCTTCCTTTGTCCACAGGATCTCCTCCACCCAGTTTTGTTTTATTTCCTGAATCCACTAGTGTCTCTGCCGGTTTGCAGCCAAGCATACCTGTCTCCTTTAATAAATCTAGTACATACTTCCTTTGCGACACAGAAATTCCATTTTGGCTCCTAGCAATCTCCATTCCCAAAAAATATTTGAGTGGTCCAAGATCTTTAACCTCGAATTCCTTTACCATCATCCTCTTTAGTTCCTCAATTTCTCCGGAATTGTCACCTGTAAGAATTATGTCATCTACATACACTATCAAAACCGTGATCTTCCCATCTAGTGTATGTTTGACAAACAGAGTGTGATCCGTTTGCCCTTGTGTATATCCATGGCCCTTAACTACCCTTGAAAAACGATCAAACCATGCTCGTGGTGATTGTTTTAGGCCGTATAATGACTTCTTTAATCTGCAAACTGCTAGGTTTTTTTGGTGATGATCAAATCCCGGTGGTAAATCCATGTACACCTCTTCTTCTAGTTCGCCATTTAAAAAAGCGTTTTTCACATCGAGTTGATACAGTGGCCAGTCTAAATTTGCTGCGAGAGATAGCAACACTCGGATTGAGTTGAGCTTGGCAACTGGAGCAAAAGTCTGTGTGTAGTCTATACCATAAGTCTGTGTAAATCCTTTTGCTACCAAGCGTGCTTTATACCTTTCTACCTCACCATCTGGTTTGTATTTTACCGTGAACACCCATTTGCATCCAACGGTGCTTTTTCCTTGAGGGAGTTCAACCAAGTTCCAAGTACCGTTCTTCTCAAGTGCTTGCATTTCTTCCATAACTGCCTTTTTCCAGGCCGGATCAGCAAGAGCATCTTCTATAGACCTGGGAATATCAATACTAGACATTTTGGTGGTAAAGGCACGGAATGAGAGAGATAAATTGTTATATGACACAAATTTGGCGATGGGATATAATGTGCATGACCTAACACCTTTTCTATGAGCAATTGGAACATCTAGACTGTCAAAAACAGAATTTCATTTGGAGAATTTTCTGAATTACCTGGAGGACTCGGAGATGAAGGAGTCTCTATCACCGGTTCAGTTTCTTGGTAGTGGATAGGATTCATGTTTTCCATATTTCCTTGATTTAGTTTTTTTCCGAGAATAGACCAAGAGCTCTTGTTGGGTGTGCCTGACCGAGTCTCTCCCTGTTCCTAAGACCGGTCTTTCCTGTTGTAACACTGGTAGGGAACACAGTTTTTCAGATGGTACAGTTTCTTCTATTGGTAAGGCAATTGTTTCCCAGAACTGAGCTTCTATTTCCCCATTCTCCCCCTGAAGCGAAGAGGGTGAGAAATATGATTTGTCTTCAAAGAAAGTGACATCCCTTGACACATAGAATTTTCTGGTTATAGGAGAATAGCATTGGTATCCTTTCTGGGTTGGAGAGTAGCCAAGAAACACTGTTTTTATGGCTCAGGGTTCTAGCTTACTCCGGTTCACGAAGTGGTTATGAACAAAGGCTGTACATCCAAAGGTTTTGAGTGGCATATTATTAAGGGTATGGAGGTGTGGATAGGCCTTGGTAAGAATTGAAATTGGAGATTGGAAATTTAGGGTATGACTGGGAACACGGTTAATGAGAAAGGTGGCAGTAAGGATGGCATCACCCCTTAGGTACTTAGGCACATTCATGGTAAACATGAGGGCACGAGCCACGTCTAGGAGGTGTCTCAATGCACGAACTTTGGTGAATGATGCCATTTGTGATTAAGTATTCCCCTAGGATGGACTGAAAATATTCTTTTCCATTATCAGTTCTTAATACACGAATTTTGGTTTGAAATCGGTTTTGAATCATGTTGTGGAAGTTTTTGAATATTTGACATGTTTCAGATTTTTCTTTCATCAAGTAAACCCAGCTAGCCCGTGTATGATCATCTATAAATGTGACAAACCATCTCTTTCCAGACATTGTGGTTACTCTAGAGGGTCCCCATACATCGCTGTGAATTAAACCAAATGGAATAGAAGGCATATATGGTCTAGGAGAGTATGGAACACGAGTGTGTTTTGCAAGTTGACAAACATCACATTGAAATGAATGCAAATTTTTATTTCTGAATAACGTTGGAAACAAATGCTTTAAATATGGAAAGCTAGGGTGGCCAAATCTATGATGCCACAACATTATTAACCTATCACTAGGAGTAGAATTAGACTCAATACTAGACACATGCGCTTGCCCTAACTCGGAATTCTCTTCTTCAAGGAAATAAAGTCCGTCATGAAGTCTAGCACTGCCAATCATCTTCCCCGATGATAGCTCCTGAAATTGACAAAAGGATGGAGAAAAATTAGCAACACAATTGTTATCCCTAGTGAGCTTGCTTATGGACAGAAGATTGCATTTTAAGGTAGGGACATGTAAAACCGAATTGAGGATTAATTGTTTTGACACCCTAATTGATCCTATTCCAGCTATGGTTGACAAAGATCCATCTGCAATTTTTATTTTGGAATTACCAAGACAAGGGGTATAAGAGCAAAAGAATTGAGATACACCTGTCATATGATCTGAGGCCCCTGAATCGATGATCCAAGGTTTCTTAATTTTTATGGAAGCACTAAGGGCTGAAAGGAAGTTACCAGATTGGGCTAGTGAACCGGACCCGACATTAGGGCTGGATTGAGGTGTTTGAAGACTCGATTGGTTGAGGAGACGATAGAGATGCTCAAGCTGTTCCTTGCTGAATTGGATTTTGTTGCTTGCAGTCTTAACTTCTGTTGAAGCACTAGTTGTTCCATCACCACAGGTTGCAGCTTGGAATCCTCTTCCTTCATTCGATCTTCTTGGTGTCCAGTTGGCTGGTTTGCCATGAATTTTCTAGCAAGTGTCTCTTGTGTGTCCCGACTGATTGCAATGATCACACCACGGCCTCTCTCTTCATGCGTTTCTGAACTCACCGTTTGTTCTATTTTGCTGTGAAGGACCCTTTGCAGCAAGTGCAGAACTTTCAGGGGTTTGATTCAGCAAACCTGGCTGATTTGATTGGCTATCAGTCATCATAACCTTTCGCCTACTTTCTTCTCTACGAACGTCTAAAAAAGCCTTTTCAGCGGAAGGAAAGGGTTCTCTGCTTAAAACTCGGCCTGGGTTCTCTGCTTAAAACTCGGCCTCTCACCTCATCGAGTTCTCTGTTGAGGCCTGCCGGGAAGTCGAATACACGCTCCTTGTCAATGAGGCGTCCTTGCTTCACGCTGCACTCTGGACACCCTAAATCTGCCACAAGGAATAAATCCAGTTCTTGCGAAATATTCTGCAATTCTGTGAAATATTGTGTGACGGTTTGAGTTCCTTGCTTCATCTCTTTCATTCTCGAGCGGAGTCTGAATACTTGTGATGCGTTGCCCAAGTCAGAATAGGTCCTCTGTACAGCATCCCAGACTGCTTTAGCAGTCGGGAGGAATAGATATGTGCGGCTTATCTTGGGCTCCATAGAGTTGATCAACCATGCTAGAACGATGGAGTTCTCTGCAAGCCATGTTTGATAGGCTGGTTCGGTTTGTGCTGGAGGCTTAGTTTCTCCAGTGATATAACCTAATTTTCCTCTGCCACAGATAACAATTTTAACGGATTGGGACCATTGAAGGTAATTTTTGCCATTGAGTTTATGTGCCGTAATTTGGAGAGAAGTATTGTCTCCTTGAAACGACGGGATAGAGGCTTGTTCCGCCTGTGTTTGGCTAGAAGGATCGGTGGTGGTCGAAGTGGAGTCATCTGCTCCCCCTCGTGAAGATCTCGCCATGGCTGTTTTTACCATAGACGAGTCTCAGAGTTTTGGCTCTGATACCATAAAGTCGGATTGAATGAAAAACACAGATGTATTATTGAATTGAGATAAAACGTACATAAATAGGCTTGAGAAGCCTTTGACTTAAAGCTAACCCTAAAACTAATCTCTTATCTAGTGGCTATAACATAGCTTATCTAAAACTTAAAAAACTAACTTCCTAAGCTAATAATCCGAAATTACCTAACTACCCCACCAGAATAATAAATAAAATCAGGGCTAATTACTAATCCTAGATTCTCGGCGCCAACATAAGTTAACTTTTATGTATTTCTACACCTTAGGTCGCCAAATAATTTAATATGTCCGACGAAGTAATGCTACTTTTATACTTTGCAGGGCTCTTTGCCAGTTTATTCAACCAAGGTTGCCGTGAGTGTTGTTGATAATGTACTGCTGATTCATCAAGTTGAGGCGAAGGTTGTTATATTGTATGACATTTTTGTAGATTCTCGAGCGCCCATATCTGCTCCACTACCTCTGTTATTGAGGGGTTTTCCCAGATCCAATAGTTCTGCCCTGCGATTACATAGGGAAGACAGTGAAAGTTCAGAGGCCAGTGTTATAAATGGTCGTGAAGTAGTTATCTATGGAGATGACTGGACTTTTCTTGTTCCTGATCTCATTTGTGATGTTGCAAATCAGTGTCTGTGGAAGATTCATCTCGACTTGGAGGCAAGTTCTGTTAATTTGTTTTGCATAATTTATTATTCTTGCACCTAATACCTCCTTTATCTTTCAGGCAATTTCTGCCAGTAGCTCAGATTTGCCATCTGTATTGGAATTCCTGCAGAGACGGAAATTGGATGCCAGTAAGGTAAGTATTTTATCTGTTCTCTGTATGCTGTATGCCCATTATTCACATGGTTGTTTAGGGTCCATTCATTGACCATTTAAAATTCCCCGATTTGTTTCTTAGCTTTATTAGCTCAATTAATTACAAAGCCAGCTGCTAACTAAAATATAGTCACTAAGAGTATGTTAAATGATATCCTAGTGTTTCTCAAAAAAAAAAAAAAAAAAAAAAAAAAAAAAAAAAAAAGATATCCTAATGGCTTTCGAGTTTTGAACTTATAACCAATAGTGACTATAGTAGGGACAAATTTCCTCGTGTTGTTTCCTTAGCGTTTCTTTTGTTTTCAGCTGTTAGTGACTAGTTGATTCTGTTACGCTTCTACTTGCAGGCTAAACAGTTGTGCTTGTCAATAGCACGCACAGCCATTTTAGAACACAGACCTGTCTCTATGGTTTCCAGAGCAATAGATGTTTTGGTTACCTCCTACTCCAACTCAATTAAGACAGGGAGCTCTATCAAGGCACCAAAACCTGAGAAGACATCATCTTCAGGTGTGCCAAATGTCACTACTGCTGGACCCAGTGTCGATGATTCTGTCAGTAGAGAAGATGCACTTGGAAAGTCCATAAAACATGAATCTGCATCTGGATTGGACTATGATTTGCGTAATAGATCTTTAGATTCCTCAAATTCAGACTCTGGGGATGGTTCGGGCTCTGAACCAATAAGAACCAGTTCCAATGGCCATAATGTTGATGGTAAAGTGGATATGAAAAGGCTGATGGGTGGTGAAACGTCCGGTGCTGCGTCGTCTTTGCAATCTCAGAATCCTGGACTTGGTAATAACCCTTTGAATGCTAATGCTTCCGAGCAACAAGACTCTCAACTTACTTCACCAGCAATTTCACCTGACGAGATATACAATTATATCTTTGCTCCTGTCGAGGAAGAGATGGTTGGCGATCCTTCTTACTTGGTTGCAATCATTATTGAGTTTCTCCGCAGGTATATCATATTTATGGAACCAATAGTGAGCCATGGCTTTGAAAATAAACGCTACTTTCCGTAGATAAAACTGTAGAAACCGGTAGGTTTTAGAATACCTAACCGTCAGTCTCACTTGTATTTCATAGGAGGTAACAAGCCTCTTTTATATACAATTAGGTTACAATTAGTTAGAGAAAGAATAGGAAACTAACTCCTAATTTACAGCTAGCTACAAATCAGCAACTAATCTACCATACATAGATTATATATATTTCCGAAAATAGCATTTCCTAAACAGTAGGGAATAAACACGCTTTTCAACACTCCCCCTCAAGTTGGAGCATGAATGTCAATCATCTCCAACTTGGATAAATGTTCCTCGAACCTGACCCGTGGTAGACCTTTTGTTAGAAAATCAGCAAGTTGTCCGTTGGATGTGATGTAAGGTATGCACACAACCCCTTCTTCGACCTTCTCTTTGATAAAATGTCTATCCACTTTCACATGCTTAGTACGGTCATGATGGATTGGATTGTGAGCAATACTGATTGCTGATTTGTTGTCACAATACAACAACATGGGATTCTCTCTTTGAAGTGATAGCTCATTCATGATTCTTTTTAACCATAGAAGTTCACATATCCCTTGTGCAAGAGCTCGAAGTTCAGCTTCAGCACTACTCCTTGCAACCACTGGTTGGTTTTTGCTTCTCCAAGTCACCAGATTACCCCATATAAATGTGCAGTACCCAGTGGTAGACCTTCTATCACTGGCTGATCCAGCCCAATCTGCGTCAGTGAATGCCTCGATCTTCCTTGAATCATTCTTTTTGAAAAATAACCCCTTTCCTGGAGTTCCTTTGAGATATCTCAAAATGTGATGAACTGCTCCAAGATGTTCTTCATATGGCTCGTGCATAAATTGGCTGACCACACTTACAGCATAGGCAATATCGGGCCGTGTATGAGATAGATAGATTAGACGCCCAACCAACCTCTGGTATCTCCTTTTATCGACAGGCACCTCTCCTTTCTTATATCCCAGCTTGTGGTTCTCTTC